GGGGTATAATATGAATTAATAATCTATATTTTAATTTATAGGTTGTTCAATCATCCATCCTATCTGCTCCATGAAAGGCTGAAATGAGGTCATATAGACCTCACCATCTTCAGTACATTTGCAGTGAAAAAGTGTTGTCATAGACAATGACGAAGTACAAAAAACAACAATGACAGGTGGGTTTCTGAACAACACTACCCGCTTCAATTTCCTTCACCTGCATCAATGCTACCTGTGTGCCATTGCTTCAAAAGAGCCAGTCTGAGCTGGATAGACATACAGCAGATCTCCTCTTATCCATAATGATGTGGAAGAACATTGTTGATCCTATTATCCACGATATTTACCCTGCATATCCACGATAAATAACCGTGGATACACTGTAAGTGCAGATGAGAATATGAATGTCATTGAATGCCTTATCTGCAAAAAAAAGAAAAACTAATTGTGAATAGGATTCTGATTTGATTTGACAAATCGCATACCGGTCAATACCCTTGGACAACCCGTGGATTACAGAAAGAATTTGCCATGCAGCTCACAATTATCCGCAAAAAATATGCGGTTAATAGGAAGAGTGTTTAGGAAGCGACTGAAGCATGCCGTGTACAATGCACAGTATGTGCACTGCACTGTGCAATGAATGCCATCCGTGCGCTGCGTGTGCAAGGCCACATACAACAGCTGTGTGCGTGCGCTGGGTGTTTAAATGTCATATTCGTGTGCTATGGAATGGACAAATACCCTTCAGGGAGCAGCAGCGGCAAAGCCACAATGCAGGGGTAGGAAAATCCGAGCGTATTTAAAACGAATAGGAAGAACAGGTATAAAAAAATAAGAATAGGTTTTACCCTTTCTGGCAATATAACAGGTATTAAGATTTTGATTTAAAGCTTTCGTGACTGCAGGGATTCATATTCTTGGTTCCATGAGTAAAGTCACGTAGAAGGGAAACAAAAAAATATAAAACAATAAAATTCTCACGACGTTTCGACTGCAACACAAGCAATCATCATCAGGTGTGAAAATCACAGCAAGAAAATTTGAAAAAGTGGCGGGTTTTTTTTACGTTAGCACCACGGAGAGCGATTTGGCAGTTATTCAGATGGACGAGTCCATCTATGTTCGGAAAAGAGGAGGGGGGAGACGAAAATAAAGGATGCGGTCTGAAAGTCACCATAAGCATGAACAATCAATTAAGACCCGAAATGGTTTATCAAATCCTTCCATTGATTGTTAAGCCAGAATCTATCTTCTCGGTTGAAATTGTCTCTGTGTTGGTATATGTAGATAGCCTCATGAACGAATCTCTCACGGTAGCCAGATGTCTTGCAAATAACCTTTGTCTTGGAGAAGTCAATGTCATGTGAGCCTACTGAATTATAAGTGATATGCCACGGCCGAGGTGTTGGTCCTACCGTGTTTTAGGTCTGCTTTGTGTTCACGAATGCGGTCCGAGACATGTCGTTTGGTTTCTCCAATTTAACTACTACCACAGAGGCAACTTAGTTTGTAGACGCCAGGGTACTGTATGTCCGGAATCACATCTTTTACAGACGGAACCAGATCACGGATTTTATGTAATGTGTTGAATCGGACCTGGATCTTGCGTTTATTCAAGATTTGGGAGAATAATAGGTGTTAAGATGTTCAAACACCAAATAGAAACCTTTTGCAAGGAATTATGTCTGCATTAACCACACATACTTGTGATGAACATGCAAATAAAACATGCTCTAACACGTAGGCTTTCACGACTAATATCCGGAATACACGTTTTTTGGGTTAAATCGTGTAAATATAGAAATGTGTCGTTCAACCTGCCACTACCCGACACAGCCAATTAGTTAGGTTCGTCACGTAAAATAACATGGAAAATCGTTACCAGTACAGCACACCAGATTTGGCTGTCATTAGATTTGGCTGTCGCCTGATGAAGCTAGTTGTAATTACTGGCGAAACGTCGTACTCAGTTTGTAAATGTTGTGGCTTTGCTCTCTGTGCTTTACTAGTAACGCATTGGCATGTTCTGTTTTACGTGACACACCTTACTAATTAGCTGTGGCAGGTGGTGGCGGGTTTAACAACACATAATTACGCGATCTAACCCAAAAAAAACTGTATTATGGATGCTCTGGTAACATGAACATGCTCTGATAATACAAGAAGAGGGCTGCACGTGTTTTTTGCAGACACCATATGGAAGGACCAAGCAGGCTCTTGAGCCTTGAGTGGGGAGCTAAACTGTGACATTTCACGGGCAAGTTAAACTATTGATTCAATAATGAATCATAATGTTACTTCTCAAAACTTTGTAGTGTGCTTGGATGTTATATTTTTTTCCAAGTGGAAACGCATTCAGATAATCTTTTTTGGCAAAGGAAATCTGAGGAACAGAGGGATTTGAACTCCCTGCACTCTTAGCGTGGCACCATCCTCCAAATCTGCCTTCCATGAACGCAGGTTGAGTAGTGTGAAGCACATTAGCACCTCTCCAGTTATTCGCATTTCCCAGCCATCTAATGAAATGTGACCAACTGCATTATCTCCGGCTCGCGTAACACCGCAGGCATTAGAGCAGAAGGTTTCATAATAATAATGCCTACGACAGATGTTTGTCATATTTTGGTCACTGTTATGCAGTGGTCAGGTTATGAAATGTAAATAGCTTAATGCGTTTGTACTCTTTACTTAGGACACTGCTGGTGATGTGATACTGAACGTTCTCCCATAAAACGCAAATCCTCGTGGGAATTGTATGAATATGGAATTAACTCAATTATTATATTTACTATCTGTATATCTTCCAAATGTCTGTATAAGAATGTGTTTGATAGTATAAGCAACAGTGAGCATATATCATATTAAAAACTGAACACATTAGTCAATAACACTGCCTTGAAATATATACTGTATTTGGCAACGTGTCAGGCAATTGCAATGATCCTTCTTCAAAGCACGATACGTTGAAATGTAGCACGTAAATCAATTAACATGTTCAGAAGATGGGTCATTGCCCAAAACGTCAACTGTTTTTATTTTAAGGCAGTCTTATTGACCACTGTGTTGTAGTTTTATTGTTTTTGCCTATGTACCACTGTCAATGCATCAGCATCACCAACGTAATGTGTTTAGGTAACGTTGCCCTCAAGGGGAGAGCTGTCATGCAGTGAAAACACCACAACTGCATGTTTAATTCAAGGCCACATCTAACATTAACATAAAATGTTAACCGAACCTGTACTGACGCCACCCTCCCTTCCACCCCCTTTACTAGCCGGCACTGACCAGTATCGTGAAGTACGGACTAACGACTCCCAACGTTCGGTATGGCATGAATTGACAAAGCACTAAACATTTAACCCTTACAGTATTTGATTCCTTTTTAAATGTAACACATTGCATGCGGCTTTGTCTATCCATCCCACTCTTTAGTTGGCACACATGATTAATCATTACACATTTAATCAATAAATGCTACATTAAATAACAATATGCTCTTTAAAGCATTAACTATTGCTTCTGTGAAAAGCTAGAGGCACTCACTGACATAATTTGAAGCTGAAGGAAAGTTGCAATTGTATTTAAAGTACCCAGAGAGTTAATAACAATTAGGTAACTACTACTGACAAATCTGTGAATTTTAATACCTTTCTACAGGTTTTAATTTTCGCAGTGAGGGGATTTTATAACATTAATGTGAAATCGCGACTGAAGTATCATAATCTGGGTGGCACACAAACACACAGGTCAAGGCGTCTTGTGCTATCTAATATGGATATATATGGAACAGTCATGGGCATTCAGGGAAAAAAATAAAACAGACATGTTAATTCCATCGCCTGGTATACATGTGGTCATGGGTTCGATCCCGACGCCTGAATATTTGGTGTTTGTATGATCTCCCTGTGGTTGCATGGATTTTTCTCCGGGTCCTCCGGTATTTACCCTCCACATTTTAAAAAGAGACTACCGTATTTTCCCGCATATAGCCCGCATACGCATATAACCCACAGACGCATATACCCCGCAAAAATAGCGGTTTGTGTAAAACAAATTTCAGATAGCCCACACCTCCATATACAACGCATGCATTTATATCGTTAACGTTGTTACCGCAGCTTAATTCCATCATATTAATACGAAGTCTATATTTATAATACATTCCACTATCAATTGTTAACATTAAAATCATGACGTGCACAAAGAAAACAAACTTACCGGAAACGAGTGAACTTAAAACAGTAACTAAGTAACAAAAGTAAATATCCAATAAATAAGTAACACATAACTGGTAGACATGTAAGTACAGTTTTAGCACTGGTAGATTGCGCACTGTGCAGAGAATCGCGGCACTACGGTAGCGCCGTTGCCTCGCCCCAAACCCCCCCCCACACCTCTCTCTCCTCCCAGCTCTCCCGTCGCCGGTAAACAAAGTGCGCCCACTTCAAACATCGTCGTTTTATAGTACAAACAATTCGAATAATTTAAAACGTGATAACATGTGCAATTTTATTGTGAGTGGTTTATTCAGCAGTGCTTTAGTCAAAGGTAGGTGTTGCATTGTGGATAGTCCTAACATGAAAAAATGTAACGAGTTATGACATGTCACACGTGTAAAATATTTTAGGGATAGCCCACACCTCCATATACCCCGCAGGGTCTTGTTTTGTTTGTAAAAAGTGGTATATCCTGTGGGTTATATGCGGGAAAATACAGTACTTGGCTTCCATAACTCTCCACATGATAAGCCACTTTGTTGCGCTTTCATTTGTGGCCAGGCCACTTCTGAAAAAGAGATATATCGCTCAATGGGCCTCACCTGGTAAAATAAAAAAAAGTTTAGTTTAAATCTCTGATTTTTTTTTATTAAAGATCAAGGTAACAAAAAGTTACGAACTCTGAAGTATTTCAAGATGTTTTATAGTTGTAAAAAAAAAAATCAAGCTTCTGAAAAGACACACGTAGGAAAAGTCACGAAAAAACTCGCACGCATATTGGTCGATTTTATTGCCAATATTGTTTATTATATAAATAATTGATTTTATAAATTGTTAAGAGACCAAGAGGATGTGAAGTAAAGTTGTATAGCTAAAAGGTAAAAACAAATTAACAGTTAAACCAAATCCAACGTGAATAGTTGGATGGCCGGTGCTTTATTCGCAATGTTCACCTGAAAGACAGCAAACAATCTGTATAAGTTAACATTTTAACTTACAAACATAAAATAATCATCACACACATGTACAAACGTACATCAAACACTTCTAAAAATAATTCTAAATATTTTAACATATTAGCAATTAATTTCAAAGCCTGCCAGTGACTCGTAACAAGTGTTTTGTTTCCCAAAATATATATACTTCCTCAGCTTTCCAGAATGTACTAAATGATTACGTATATTTTAATAAATGTAGGAATGAACATAGAATAAATGGTCAAAAACATGTATATACGTATTGATGCAGTCTATGAGAATGGTACATTCAGGTTTTCCATGTGAACTGTGTTCTGGGAAAAGAATCACATCAAGAGAATTACGTCATAAATTCAGCTCTACATTTGTCCACCTTACTGGAATATTATTTACGTCAAATATTGTGTCCAGGGACACAAATGAGATGCAGCATATAATTTATTGTGCGGTCACAGTAGAAGCATGGGGTCACATGCCATTACGGGACAAGATAGGCAGTAAATATTTAAAAGACATTACATGCATGTGACAGCATAGTAAATAACATAAGTTAGGATAAATTACTTATAACAGTGTCAGTGCATCCATCACGCTCCTTGGACAATCCTGTAAACATTGTGGGTGATTTGGTGGATAAGGGGTCTTCTCAGCCAACATTAGGAGGCACTTTCTAAGGTCTCAATAACCCAATCAACAATTAATTGCATCGTGAATCAAACAGAACTAGCGTTGGTGATAATAGACATGCCAAAAGCAGCTCGCCAACTTTAAAGCAACCTGGTAATAGACTTGTGCGTGTACTAATAATCGACACGCAGCAATGAAACTTCAGTTGAGATACTGGTTGATTAGTTTTAAGCTTTTATTTTTATTCAACTATGGAATGACAGGTGATTAATGGTAATGATGACTGAAATTACACTGTGCACACATAGCATACATGTGGCATACCCACCCTCACCCTTGCTGTTTATGGAGGTTGCATCTCTTACGATGAAAACTCTTTGCAAAAAAGTATCTTACTGTGGGCTTATCAGTCTATAAATGTTTCACTTTAACCAAGTCTAACACAATGTCCCTTCACACACAGTTGGCAATGCTAAATGACCCGTACAGATGGAAATCATTCAATCCATGCCCTGTTTCTGTGACTGCATGAGGTGTGATCATATTCATAAATGCATAGACGCATTCAGTTTTCTTAAATGTAAAGCATATCTATTTAGTCACGACTTCAGAGGGATGCAAAAATGAGCTTTATAAAAGAGACTTACCTACCAAGTAGTTTGCACCTGGGTACAACAGTACTATCGTTCTCCTAAAGCAAGAAAAAGTGCGAAATTTAAACTCGGCTCAACATTCAATTATTTCGCAAAGATTTAAGCACATTATTGCCAGTATTCTAAAGCGCAATGACAATAACATATTATCTATGTAAACCCATCAGTCGTATCATGTAATTATTATTCTAGACGTAACATCACAACAAATTGTAAACATTCTGCAGCAGTGCATTGGTATGAATTGCATTCATTAGATTTGTATTAATACATATTATACTGTGATACATTTTAAAGATATATTTTAAGATAGTAGCATTATAAACAAGTGTATTGTATTTCATGCTCGCTGGAATATTAACATTTACCATGGCATGTATTACGTTGCTTTTAGTTTGTATTACCTTTAAATTAGTACCCCTGGCATTAAGACTCTTCCTGTTGAAATATCAAGTTACATTTTCTTAGTGCATCTCGTAATTAGTGTTGTTTTGTTTTACAAATCAATTAACATAAATTATAAAGTTTTATGCGATTAAGACAAAGTATTAGGGTTACCTTCTATTGCTGGGGTGCTTATTGCTTTAGAGATCCTTTGAAATCCCCTAAATTCTCATTCGAATCAGCATGGATTAATCAAACGCGCCTGCCTATAGATATGTACGAGCGGGGTTAACTAGCGTTGAGACAACACAAAGGTAACTTCGTTTTAGCACAGCGTTAAAGTTGGATTACTTGCAGGTGAAGTTTACATTTTGAATAGACGGTCGAGTGCAACGGCAGTTAGGCCGCGATATAATTTTCCGTGAATTTCAAATACAGTACAAGAATACAACCGTTAGTCAATAGACCAGTGTGATGCTCTGAACGTAATTATATTGCAATGTTTCAAAGCAAAGTGTTTATGTCACTTATAAGATTAAAGTATTAACCGATATATTTAAAACAGCACACAGAACTATGTAATAATATTACTTTTATTCATACAGTAACATTTTATGCGATCGATTTAAGCAAAGATTATTAAATCAGCATTATAGATTACGATTCAAATGTAAATTGTCTATAAAAATGATCTTACTTTAATTCACATTTAATCATTATTGATAGCAGGGTACTTACTTTATATTTAACAGCAATTGTACTATAAATAACATTTGCCTTTGCTTTTAAATTGCATCTATTTAAGTATGAAAACAAAACTGGTATTTACTTAGTGTAATTGTTTAAAATATTAGATCTTCATGCTTGCCATAATTAGAATACAGCTTAAAACAAATAAGGTTTACAGACAGCTTGCGTTTTAAAAAGTAGTTAAATTGCTCATGATCGTACTTATTCATCCGACAAACTACATATCATCGACATATAGGTTTAAACATTTCACTACAGACAAGCGATAGCTGTAACAAAATTTGGCGCACACAAAATGCAAAATGTACACCAATTCGTAGCAAAGTACGCGAAATGTGTGCGTCAGAATTACAGCCACAAAGTCTAACACTACGTTTTGAAAAGGTCACGCGATTAAGACTAGAACAGCAGAAAAATATCGGTGCACAACAAACAAGATGTCAATAGATACCATAGGGGTGTTCCCTGTTGGCGCCCTTCATGCTCCACACTGGCGCTGCTTTGAGGAGGCCATGAGTATTGGACCACCCATTTTGACCTACAGCAACAACGACGACCGCGTTAGGGCTATGTAATACAGAATCAACGTGGAAGCTTGGCGAGTAAATTATGCGCTGTTCCATGAATGGTTGATAGAAGTGAGATTTTTTTTTAAACTGACGTGCGTTTCATTCTCCGAACGTAATTTGTTGATGTGGTGACAATGTGTTTATCAGCCTGCATTCCGATTGTAATTATTTATAGGTGTCTGTGTCTGAAGCAGAATGGTCTATTTTCTCAAAGAAGCTCTGACCAATACATATTTATGTTGGTGACCTTGATCCAATCATGTAAATGGCAAGGGCCAGTCTATTTATACAATGCTAATTTGAATTCTCACAAGTTGGTAACCATTTAATCAACCCCGGAGGCTTATATAAGCAGAGTTAATGTCTGACCGGGTTTTAAATTTGCACGCTATGTGCACAGGAGCCTGAACTTCAAGTCACTAGCTCTTACCAGACTGAAGGCACATTGGCTTTACGGCAGCAAAGCCTTTATGTGCTGGTTTCACTTGTTAATACGCTTCATCAGCACAAGTAAAGCGCTGCTTCTGAAGCATGTTGTGCGTTGGGCTGTTATAGGGAACACATCCCCCCTTTCACTAATGGGCCAAAAATGGTGTAGGTTTGTACTAAAATATCAAATAACATGCTCCAAGATGTCACAGTTTAAACTCTGCAAAGCAATGTGGGAAAAGGTCACGGTATTCTATTTCCTGACTTGCAATGTGCATGCCTAGCAGAGTGAACATATAAGCAATTAAAGGCTGTAAGTGTGGGCTTCTAAATGTATAATTAAAATGTTCATAAAGCATTACATTTGGAGCATAAGTGAGTACGACTGTTACGATTGAAAACAACGTATCATCTCAAATGCATACCAGTTTCATATGAACAAAATCAACAATGTCACGTAATTCACTGAATGTCATCTCGAAAATATCAGATTATTGCACACGGAACGTGCCACCTAAATGGAATATGCAGAGTTGGATTTATAATCATAACATATTAAATTCAATCCACGGCATAACTGTATGCGATTTTCAGTAAATGTATTTTGGCAAATAGATTCTAAATACACCATCTAAATAAATATATTATAATTTACAGACCCCTTTGTCGATCCACTTCTGGAAGGCCTCTTCCACACGAGTTCAGCTATGGGGGCATTTTTATGACACTTCACTTTGCTGGTCAGTGTTAATTGATTGAGGGGACAGGAGGGGCCAGGTTTTGTTCAGATAATGCTCTCCACTGATGTTAGCCATGGCCAGCAATGAAATTCAAGTCACCGTGGGGTTCAGAACGCAGTGTAATAACCAGAGTACCACTGCTCTCCCTCTCCCCACTGTGAATGTATTTATTGACTACTATATTTACCCAAGAATGTCAGTGTGTAACGCGTGTGACTTCACTCCACGTCCCAGCCCCCCTCATTAATAATCATGAACAGGTTACGTCCTCATGGGACTGCGTAGCGATTCGCGCACTGCGCTACGAACCCGGCGACCCGAGTTCGATTCCTGCTCACGGCCACCACTGGTGACGATTATTTGAACCGGTTCTGGGCGTCCCAAAGGTCGACTCAGCCTCAAACGAGTAACTGGTGTGGTGTGTGAACATCGCCACTGGGGAGACAAAGGCGGCAAGGCGTGGTAAATCCAAGTCCCGGGCAAAGCCGGGTAGGAAAGCTAGTCATCAATAAAACTGAACATTTTGGGCGAGTCTGAATTAACTGCAATATCTTTCTTTGCGAGGCCTGGTGACCACGCTATGATCACATCTTCGCCCCACCTGTTCACTCAGTTTCATCTCGTTCTGCTGGACAAATTCACATTCGGGAGTTATCGCAGTGCCTGCTTAGTGTCCCACCAGCCCTTTAATCCACCGAACCAAAACTGGTGCTGTATATGTGTGTGTTTAAGCTCGAATAAAATATTTCAATTCATTGTCTTTTTAATGTCCGTGTCAAAGTGCCAATGCAGATTCTCACCAAAGTCATCGTATTCTCCCAAAGTAAGGGTATAGCTGTAGTCGCAGTATTCTTCAGCACTGTATAATAAGAACATACCAGACAACCATTCATACGATAAAATGTCAAAACATTCAAAGTACAGGTGGTCCTCGGAGATATGTCAGGTTATATTCCTAGAAAAGGTGCCACAAGTTGAAACGATGTATGTCTAGACCTATTTTCCCAGAGAAACAATTATATAAAAGGGGGTAATGTTCCTGATGAAAGTCCGATATGATTTTTTTTTATATATATGAATACAAATCACATGTTGAATCGACTACCAATCATATATAGAGTACAATGATATTATTACGAAAAGTTTTTACCTTGATTCCTCGTAATCCTGGCTTATTTGGACTGAATACAGTCATAGCCTTTCTGCCATGTTCTTTTCAACACCATCACGAAATCACTGACCTTTCCCTTCATCAGCCATTTTTAAAGATTAAATCAATCAAAAATGCGTATACATCAGCTAAGAATGCAGAGAAGGTTTAGCACCGGAGGGCGAAGTCGGGAGGTAGATTGACTGGGTGACGTCCTTCCCCTGCACCTCCGATTAGCACGGTGGGCTACATATGGTGTGAAAGATGTTTAACATACATATGTAATGAGCGACTACCGACACACGTCTAGTAGAAGGCTTCTTATTTATTAAGAGCACACAGAGCGATAACACTTCGTAACGCGGCTACACACTAGGCTGTCCAAACACGCAGCCCCTCTCCGTCCTGCGCTACGCTGGCTGATTGACGAGCGTAGTGGCGGCGACGGAGCTGGTCTTGCGGAAGCACAGCCACGTGGTCGAAGACGAAGAGATGACGACGGCAGCGATGCAACCAGGACCCAGACCCCACACTAACAGCCTCAAAACTCTGGTTCTGTGCTCCTTATATCTGCTTGGCATGGCCAAGCTCCACCTCTGGCCACGCTCCTTTCTAGAACCTAAGAGACCCTTCCGGATGGTTCCCGGAGCTTCTCGACTGACACCGCCCTTAACATTAACCCCAGATACGCCCCTTCATAATAAGGCATTATGTAATGCAGCTATAACCGTAATTACCCTTACAGACCGGCAGGTGTCACCCTGTCATTACACATACATGCGTACGTATGTTTGTTTGTCTGCAGAACCGGCGCCTCAGTCGGCGTCATTGCTGTAAGTGCGAGTCCAACCGCCATGATTAACAACGTGGCTGTGGCGTTTGGCGACCTGCTGAGAGTGCGGATTGACGTAAGTCGAACCGACTTTAGTCGAGGAACTGCCCGTACTGCTTAACCATCAATATTCAGTCGTGTGGCAGAAATACAATCCGCTATACAATAATCCACAAGTTGTGGATAATAATCCACAAGTTGTGGATTATTGGCGGTTCGCGACTGCTTCTGTAATACATAGCACACCTTGACGGATTTAAAGGGTATCGTGGACCGCAAAACGGCAATCCGTGGCAGTGGGAGACGGGCTAAGGCAAAGCTGCAGGAGCAAAGCTTGCAGGGAAACACAGAGGACTTTATTGAGAAATGTTTAATATATTTGGTTTAGCAAGTTTTATATTTTAGCTTTGCATCTGCACAGACTAGGTGTGCTATTGTGGCAAATCGCCCGATGCTGGATGTAATTACCAGCAAAACGTCGTACTCAAAATTGTAAATGTTGTGGGTTTACTCTGCAACACACTGGTGAGCTGAAGTAGTAACGAATTGGCGTTTTTTTACGTGATAAATCCCTTACTAATTTGGTGTGTCGGGTGCTGGAGGGTTACGACATATTTATACTAACACGATCTAACCCAAAAACCAATATTATTCATAATTTTAGTTGCGAAAGCCTACGTGTTAAACTAGGGGTGCTGTGATTTCTTAAGACATGTTTTTGTAGGGTTTTAGACTTGGATATCAAGTGTAAAAGAAATTCACAAATATTTTCACTTTATGGCAAAATTGCCTAATTGGGTCTTAGAAACACCCATAACCAATTTACTGCAGATTAATTTAACCTCAAGTCACGTAGCTGCACTTCTCCTTAGTCCGCACATTATTCGTTGATGAATGGAGTCTCGCACAGCTTTTCCTTCCGTAATCCGTGCCACACCGCATTCACGCAACATTTTTTGCAGATGATAGAACCTCCCCCAAATAATCCCATATCAACACGAATGTACTGTATATGATTATACAATGTACTGTATAATCATACGCTGTATAATCATACACAGTACATTGTGTATGTTTTCACTTTTCTAAAACATAATTCTGCAGATGTTTTAGGACTGTTTTATCGTTTTATTCACAGCACAGGTTTCACTTTGATATATATGTACTTTAGTTGTATGATGTTATAACAATAATAATCATACTTTTTTTTTATATCACACCTTTTACACCCAGAGCCCTTCATTATAAAATGCGGTAAACAGTGGTATGACACTTCCAGTCAACTGCATTTTCACCTTACAAACAAGAGTAAAGGAACTGAAAATTGCCCACACACCACGCAAAGTACATTTATTTCCATACCTGTTCGTCTGGGAGGTACTGCCGGCACCATAGTCCTCTTCGTATCCATTCTCGTACACATCTTCATAAGCCTAAGTAGATTAAGTCACATGTAAGTAAGTAGAAGATTATATTTTTATGCTGTATGTGAAAAAAAAAGTTAAAGTTAATTTGCAGTGAAATGAAATTAGTGAGGCGTGAGAAGTGGTTAATGAGGAGTGTGGGCGACGCACTCGGTGGGGGTGATGCACGAAGGTCGCAATGAACCCTGCCGTGAGGTGCCACATGCACGCCCACATGGCATCTCATCTGCCAATGAGATGCTGGTGACTCGAGTCGATTTAATTCGCAATTTTAGCAAGGGAGATGTGCAGCCCTGTAATTGCCTACTCGCACCGCTGGTGGCGGAAGGAAATCCAGCGAAGGGAGCTCTGGAGAACCGATTCCACGCTGCCCATACATCTTGGAAGAGCTTAGAGTACCCACACCTTACACCACCATACATGATCTACCGATCGACTCATTACCATTTTAATATATATATTACAATAATACCTCCCAGTATAAACCTTGGCTTGGGCACACAAGTTATTTTTTAACATTATGTTGCATCCAGGGAGTAACACGAAAACGAAAACCAGAGCCAAGAGCCGGTTTCCAACCATTTTATTTTTCGGGATGCAATCTGAGCCAATGTTTTTTTGGCTCCAAATGAAAACTCCTCAAACAAGGGATGCAGTTACAGATTTCAGAGCAGTTTTGCAAAAATAAATATATCTAAATAAATACTGCACTTTGCAGTTCAAATTGTAAAACTAAGGTGTAAAAAAATTGCTACGATCTCTATAAGCCAATAACATGGGGCTGCAGTCACTTGGTGAGATGTCTCATATATTGCACAGTCTGTTCTGGATGACCACAGTCGCACACTACTGGAGAGTTTATACATCATTAGACCTCCTTTGCCAGTACCAACATGTAAAAATAGGGTTTTTCCCCTTTTTCTGGCAACAAAACTGAAACCTTTTTTACAAGGATGCATGTCTGCATTAACCACAATACCTGCAATCAAAATGAAAAAAACATACTATGCTAATATATGCATTGTCCTTGAAACTGATTGGTCCACACCAAGGGACGGCTTTCTTTTGAGCCTCGACCCAATTGCTGCTCGACCAGATGACGCCAAAAGGCGTACAGCTCAAAGACAATGCACTATCAAAGTAATGAGGGCTCGGGGTGAGCATCTACATCATTAGACCTCCTTTGCCAGTAATAACATGTAATAATAGGGTTTTTCCCCTTTTTTCTGGCAACAAAACTGAAACCTTTTTTTACAAGGATTCATGTCTGCATTAACCACAATACCTGCAGTCAAAATGCAAAAAAACTATGCTAATATATGCATTGTCCTTGAAACTGATTGGTCCACACCAAGGGACGGCTTTCTTTTGAGCCTCGACCCAATTGGTGCTCGACCAGATGACGCCAAAAGGCGTACAGCTCAAAGACAATGCACTATCAAAGTAATGAGGGCTCAGGGTGAGCATCTACATCATTAGACCTCCTTTGCCAGTACCAGACAATGCATATATTATCATAGCATGTTTTTTGTTTGCATTTTGACTGCAGGTATTGTGGTTAATGCAGACATGAATCCTTGTAAAAAAAGGTTTCAGTTTTGTTGCCAGAAAAAAAGGGGAAAAACCCTATTATTACTGGAGAGTTTTTAAGTTTTAATTTGTGTATAATGTATTCACATCTACCATGGTTTGTGCGGATGTGCTTTAGGGTGGACCATGAGCCCTCGTAGGAAATCAAACCCAGGGATATTCTGTGTTGGGTCTTTCAAAATGTGTTTGTTTTTGAACTCCATTCAGCTCTTCAAGCTTCATCGGGGTTGAACTGGCATTGTTGAAGCTTCAGCGTATGGGTCCAAAAGGGCTTGCTTGACTTAAAGCGATGAAGAGGGATATTGTTAAGGTCCCGATTAATGGAAAGGCGACTGTTTCCCTCGATTTGCAGGATCTAGGGAAATAGCAACTGCGTCTAGGCCAGGATCCCGCTTGTTTTTCAGGGATCACTGACTTAACTATGGGGCTGATTCTCCAGAGGATGATGATGCACTCCAGGAGTTTATAGGTCGTGCACAGGAGTGATATTGGCCTATAGCTTTTCGGGTCATCAGTTGGTTTACCCGGTTTAGGTATGGCAATGGCCATCACCTTCCAGCATGGTTTTAGGATGCATCTAGTTTTCATATTTTTGGTGTACAGTTTTTCCAGCCATTGCAGTGCCCTAGGGTCTAAGTGATAGAGGAATTCTGCAGGGGTATCATCTCTGCCGGCAACCTTGCATTTCTTCATTGCAGCCAAACCCTCTCTCAATTCCTCTGTGCTAATGGCGGTGGAGTTTGTGAGGAAATTGAGGCCAATGTCTGGGGTAATTGGCGATGGATCTCTCACTTTATGTTTTTGTCGAGCGGTCCTTTTGTGTTATCCACTAGTTTGGAGGCTATAGAGTTGGGCAGGACTCTTGCGGCCCGGTATTTTGTTGGATTAGCAGCACCAAGATGTCGTAGTAGGGCCCTGGCACAGGGGCTGGAGTGTGTGAAGTCCAGCCTTCAACACACTCAATCCAACCGCTGATGTCTGGCTAATGACTCTCGCAAGACCTTTCCAACCTGTGGGCTGCCCGACTGGTTGTACTGTCAGAACAGGTCCTGGGTATTTTTTTGTTCAACAGCGAGTGGATTATTTACGGAATGCTCTTCTTGGCGGCTGCAAAAAGGAGGGCAACAAAGTGGTGATATCATTCTGGTGTAGTGGGAATTCAACTCACCAGTCTCTCTGCAACCTCCCTATAGTGGTCCCAGTTGGCTTTGATCAGGTTCCACCTTGGTAGTCGTTTTAACACAATCATGGGGATTTTTATGAAAATGTGGGTGATGATGGGCCAATGTTGACTTTTGGGGAGGCTTGGAGGTATTTTGCGTGATGCGTGAAGTGTGCTCCCACTTTGATCTTTGAAAACGATGTAAAGGTCTAGGTTGTAGCCACGTTGCCAGTGAGCAGAGTGGAAAGTTACTTGATGCTTGGGATCGAAAACCTGCATAACCCCACATAGTATGGTGGCTGTTAAAGTCACCAACGTATAGGGCTGGGATCAGTGCACTTTGGAGTGCTGGCTTTGGCCATTTTTAATTAGGGGCTTTGTACACACTGGTGATGTGTAGGTGGCTTCTTTTTCAGTTGGTGAGATGGCGTATAACTCTGTGATGGCGTTCTTTACGTTTATGGCCGAGCAATATTTCGGGTAGTAGTGGCTCATCATGAGGTTATATCCATGGATGTGATAGCGACTGGCATGTAAGGCATCAAAGATGTAGGTTTCTTGGAGCGTTAGGACGTCAATTTTACGTGTGTTCATTATGTTTGCGACATACTCTCACTTCGTCAAGATGAGTCCCTCAATGTTCAGTTGGAAGATCCTTGTCCCAGGGCCTATCTGGCATGTTGTTTGGCCCTGAACAGGGTCATTGGCGTGGCTTGTGTTGATGCTCTGGAGACTGGGAGATCGATGATCGATGTTCAGTCGCCGCGTTGATACCATTCATTGTGATATCTCACGTAACAGAGTGGGCCGCATGAAAGCTGCCATCTCCCACTCCATTTCTGAAATGTTTACCATCTGTATTATTATTCACACTATTACCGATACCAAAATGAAGCTCTTAAATATTGCGAATACGAAAGAAATAACGGTGTTGGAAAAGCATCCCCATATTTACAATGGTATAATGACCCCTTTTAGAGCTGATTCGATTCACTCTCATTGCCCCAGGAACATTTATTGAGCGCCAAGCAAGGTCTGCCTGTACGGAGCGTTCATTACAGGCTCATGCCAAATATTAAAATGGTATTAATTTTCTTGAGGAATGCTGGCCAAATTTGTATTTCTATGTTTCATTGTGTATCCATGTTTGGCTCCAATATTGTCCTGCTTCTGCCACTGTACCTCCCGTTTTCTGTGCATCTACCTTTGTATCTACATCTCACTTTGTGCATTTATATTTGCCTTTGTATCTCCCTTTGTCTTTGCATCTCCATCTTTGTCTGCAAGTTGCTACACAGAGAAAGGGAGCGTGGGAAAAGTGCTTTATAAATAAAATGCATTATTTCAAGAAATTCAAAGCCAGTCTTTTCCGGTGTTGCAACACACTCAATATTTTGTTAAGAAATGGTAACAATATAAAAACACAAAGACCTCCTCTGATGTGACATGCATTCTATACTACAATGTAAGCTACACGGGACGTCATTGTTTTCCTAATTTAGAGCAAATGTGCAATATTTTAATCGGTTCAAACCGGTGTTTACAAAGGGTTAACCATAACCGAACCTTGAAAACACACTATGAACCCATTTAACTTGATCAGTTCGCGTGGTTTTCGATAGAAAACCAAACGGTTCGACCCCATTGCTGCAGTGTCTTAACAGCTGATGTAACATTTCCTGTGCTGTGGTTATACCTCAGGAATCGGTGCTTTTGGCATATAGGCTGGCAAATGCACATGCTGGCCCAGGGGGGCAGTGTATGATCACCAGGCCTCCCAGCTGACTGATGTTGTAAGTGGGGTGTCCTACCGTCCACTCTTCATCATCATAACCTGTCTCTTAGGCCTCACACACACATGCGCAGTGCTGTTGGAGCAGTAGTTACCTTTGCAAATTGCATGTGCCAGTGTGTTACACTAACACTGCATACAGTGCAAGTCATGTACAGCAAAAGCTCTGTTGTCCGGTAATTTACCTTCAAGAATGTTCTATTAATCAGCATCTATCATAGATGGCAATACAAATCTTCCTTCACACATCCAGAAAAATTCCGACAGCCATCCGGCTTCTCGTGAATGTTGTTCACGGGAGCTTCAGGACGCTGTCGGGTGGTGGTGCTAGTGGCAACCTGTACATGCAGTACTGCACTACTGGATACTGTATTCTGAAAAGGCTCCACTGCTTTTCTACAATCAACTTGGAATGCTCTACAACTGACTGGTGAGTACCTCTGTAAAATAGTCAATTATTTATTT